CCAAATCTGACTCTTAACTTCAAATGACAATCACAGGAGAAAAGATCATACAACAACTTTGCTCTGAGCTGGGGTGGGAGGTGTGGGAAAACAGAGAGACCACTGTGTAAGTGGTTACTAATTCATAAAAACATATCACCCATTTCCATTTTCTCTAAAAAATAGGAAATAAGTCTTTAAAAGGATGTTTTTAAACCCATTGCTTTATTTAGCCAATAAAAATTAAAGAAATTATGTACTTTTTCCAAGAAATTTATTATAGACATGGAAGCATCACCAATTTATAGAAATCCTACCAAAATGGCCTAGAACTGTAGAATCTACACTTTATCAAGCTGGTCATCTAGCCCCTTCAAACCACATCTAAGAACAGGAGAAGAATATTTAAACATCAAGGAAGAGGCATATGTTCCACTCAACACCACTTTGTGAAGTCTCCTAGAACCAAATCACTTTACAGAACCATCTTTGCTATCTTTGTTCTCCACAAAAATAATCCCCCAAAGATTCTGAAATAAAACCAGCAAAATCCCTGTATTAGCTTTCTATTGTTGCCATAACAAATTATCACAAACACCACAATGCCAATTATCTCAGTTACTATAGGCCAGAAGTCATGTGGGCTTGGCTGAGTCTCACAAGGCCAAAATTAAAGTGTCCACAGGGCTGGGTTCCTTGCTGGAAACTCTGGGAGAAAATGCTTCCACGCTTGGTTAGACTGTTGGCTGAATATAGTTCCAGCGGTTGTAGGACCAAGGTCCCCATTTCCTTGCTGGTTGGCAGGTGAGGCTGGCCTTTGCTTCTAGAAGCTGGCTGCATTCCCTGTCTCCTGCTTTCCATGTGGCCCCCTCCAGTAATGGCAGGTTGAGTCCTTTTCATGCTTCCTTCCAACCTCTGACTTCCAGCCAGAGAAAGTTCTCAGCTTTTAAGAGCTCATATGATTAGACCAGACCCTCCAAGGAAATCCAGCATAATCTTCCAATTTTAAGATCCTTAACCTTAATTATATCTACAAAGTCTCTTTCACCACATAATATATTCAGGTTCCAGGGTTTAGGGTACAGACATCTTACGGGGGCCATTATGCCTACCACAGTCTGCTTTCTGGCTTCCAAAGATTCACCTCTCTCCTAAATGCAAAATACATTCATCCCATCCCAAGGTCCCCAAAGGTCTTACACCATTATAGCACCAAGTCAAAGTCAAAAATCTCATCTAACGCTCATCATTTCAAAAGTCCTAAGTCTCATCCTTTCATTCAGATGTGGAAGAGGTTCTGGGTATAATACAGTAAGTATAACTCCTAGGGCAGAATTCCTAAAAATACAAGTTATCTGTTCCAAACATACTATGATGATATAGGCATGCAGTAACAGTTACAGATATTCCAGTTCAAATGGGGAAAATGTAAAAGAAAACAGAGCCACCAGTCCAAAGCAGTTTCAAAATCATTCCATCTCAAAGACTAGGAAAAAGCCTCCTCTGTGGCTTTCAGCTCTACCCTCTGGGCTTTTGGTTCCATCTCTAAGTCAATTTTATTTTTAAATGAAAAGCAGCACATTCACATGACTAGTTTTACCAGCCTGCTTCCTGTCAGTACAGTTTTTTTTTGGGGGGGGGGTCTGACAGCCCTAATTAATTTCTTACTTTCTGTCTCTTTCAATCCAAATTAGCATTGTTTCTGCTAGCATAAAATTCTCAAGAATCTAGTGGGCTTTGCAAGAATTTCACAGGGGTTCACTCCATTAGAATCACATTCTCAAATAAACCAGGCACAGAAATCTCCTTCGCTAAATATCCAAGTTCATCACTTACAAATTCTGCTTTCCATAACCACAAGACACAACTCTGCTAAGCTTATTTGCCACTATGTAACAAGCATCCTTTCTGCCAGTTTCCAATAACATGTACCTCATTTCTATCTGAGCCCTCACTAGCAGTCATTAACATCCATATTTCTCCTAACAATCTTTTCTAGGCCTTTTCTATCATGCTCCTCAAGATTATTCTGGCCTCCACCCACTGCCACTTCCATTTTTAGGTAATAGTACCCCACTCCTGGTACCAAAATCTATACTGGTGTTCTACTGCTGCCGTAACAAATTACCACAAATGTAGTGGCTTAAAATAACCCAAATTATCTCACAATTTCTGTAGGTCAGAAGTTGGATGGACTTTACTGGGTCTTCTGCTTAGAGTCTCACAAGGCCAAAAATCAAGGTGTCTGCAAGGCTGCATCCCTTGCTGGAAACTTGGGAATAATTCACTTCAAAGCTCATTCAGGCTGTTGGCCAAATTCAGTTCCTTATGGTTGTAGGAATGAGGTCCCCTTATTGGCTGTCAGCTAGGGACTGGTCTTTGCTACCAGAGGCTGTCCACATTCTTCCTCTACTCTCCATGTGGCCCCCTCTAACAATGACAAATGGAGTCCTTCTTGTGCTTCAAATCTGATTGATTTTCCCTTCTACCCATTTCTCTGATCTCAGCTGGAGAAAGTTCTCTGCTTTTTTTTTTTTTTTTTTTTTTTGAGACAGAGTCTCACTTTGTTGCCCAGGCTAGTGTGAGTGCCGTGGCGTCAGCCTAGCTCACAGCAACCTCAAACTCCTGGGCTTGAGCGATCCTTCTGTCTCAGCCTCCCGAGTAGCTGGGACTACAGGCATGCGCCACCATGCCCGGCTAATTTTTTTTTTTTATATATATATATCAGTTGGCCAATTAGTTTCTTTCTATTTATAGTAGAGACGGGGTCTCGCTCTTGCTCAGGCTGGTTTCGAACTCCTGACCTTGAGCAATCCGCCCGCCTCGGCCTCCCAGAGAGCTAGGATTACAGGCGTGAGCCACCACGCCCGGCCAAGTTCTCTGCTTTTAAGGACTCGTGTAATTAAATTGGGTCCAGAAAATCTAGGATAATTTTCCTATTTCAAGATTCTTAACTTTAACTATACCTGCAAAGTTCCTTTTGCCATGTAACATAATGTATTTATAGATCCTGAGGATTAAAGTATGGACATCTTGGGGCGAGGGGATGGGCATGTCATTCTGCGCTACAAACCCAAACCCTAGTAAAGCTTTAAACTCACTTCCTAAAGAAAATCTCCCTTTTCTTTAACAGTACGTGAAATAAAGGTACATGTTCAGAGATAGAGACAATAATAAAAGCAGGACTCCCCCTGGAAGAGTAGGTAGGCAACAGAACTAAAAACAAATCATGGAAAAGAAGTTGCAATCTGTTTCATACTCAAATAGTAAGGCAACACACCCCTATAACTTAGAAATGAACCTATGCTCCCCCTTAAATTTGTGTGCTTCTTTTTCTCCTCTGTATTTCATAAAATAGGACATAACTAGGCTTTGTTTTTCTAAAAAAAGAAAAGCCACCCCATGGTGACCTAACTTTCTAATCAATTGATAAATCAATCCAAGCAAACTTCCAACCTTTCCATTCTTTCTTCCAACTCACACACCCTCCCCCAATAGCAAATGAAAGCCAAGTATTTCAAAGTCACAGGACAAACCTCTCTTGGTAAGACTGCAAGTGAACTTTTCAAAATGACATGGGGGAGAACTACTATTGGTCCTGGACGTTCAGCTCCAGGGCTACCAAGCCAGTAAAGCCAAATGACTTATGACAAAACACTGCAAAAACTACAAAGATAAAACTTTGAAGCCATGCCTACTTTAGATTCTTTACCATAAATTTTACTTAGACGGAGGAGCCCCAAATACACCAACCTAGTCCCTTTATTAAGAGAGACAGGTAAGCTCTATTGAGCACTTATTATCTGCCAGACACAGTAAGCACTTGACACGTATCGTTTTATTTACTGCTCACCATAAACTTATGAGCTGGGAAATATCATCACCCCATTTTACAGACAAGGAAAACTGAGGCTTACAGAGTTTAGATCACACAGCTGCGTAATAGAGGCTAGGGTCTCTGAATTTGAGAACCTAAGCAGTCTGCTTTCTAACTACTGGCCTTTACTGCCGCTCCTTGGATGAAATGAGGTCTCCAATTCTTGGAAAAATCTTTCCTTCCTAGTTATTTTTTGATTTCCTCTCTCCACTACCCATTCTCATAGAATTAAGAAGTTGAAAGGTAATCAAGTCTTCCCAAATAACCTGCCACCTTTTCAGAAGTCTTTCCTCCGCACAAAAGCAATAGCCAACAAGCAACTTTTCCTGACCCCGACTTTGCTTCCCCAAAACAAACTACAGAAGCTCCATCCATCACCTGCCTAACCTAGAAATGTTCCAACACCGCAAAAAATACACAACAAAATCCAAAACTTAAAAGTCCTACTCTTTCAAAAGGTCACCAACTAACATATGCATACTCTTAGCCAACCTTTCATTCCACATACCTCTCCTTTCCCACCCAGGCTCCCAACTAGCTCTCAACTCCAACTCCACCTCCACCTCCACCCGTTCTGCCCCACTTCGTGGTCCCCTCCCCCTTTCTCCCCAGTAACCCCGCCCCGGATTCCCTCCACCTCGCACCCAGTCTGCAGGTGGGAAGCTCAGCCCCACCCAGAGGGACCCCTAGGAAGGCCCCTACTCCAGCTGCCCTGCTCCGCAAGAGGGTTCAGCCCACTCTACACAGCAGGCACCACTCCCTCTGCACCCTCCCCTAGCATCCCCTGCGGCCCCACCCCACAAGCTCCCTTCCCCCCAGCCCCCAGCGACCCCCTTCCTCCAAGTTGCCCTTAGTCCCCGCCCAGTCCAGCACTCTCCCCCGCCATAAGCGGGACTCCGACAGCCGGTTCCCACCCTCATAACGGCCTCTGCCCCCAAGCTGAGCTCTCCGTTCTGGGGGGTGGCCCCGGGCCTCCCCGATGGGCTGCAGGGGCCTCGGCTGGTGTAAGTGTGGAGGGGGGGCAGGGGAAGGCGAAGGGCCGCACGGGAGTCTGCTGGAAGCGTGAGGAGCGGCCGCGCCCTGCTGCTCCATGCTGGGCCCACCCCCACTCTCCAATGACCTCGCCTGGCGGCTCCCAAGGTACCTGTGGTGGAAGCGGCAGCGGCGGCGGCCGCTCTCCCCTCTCCTCACACAGACAATATGGCGGCGGCGGAGGAGGAGACACACGGCTCGGCCGCCAGCCGCAGGGACCAGAGCGAGGCTTCAGCCGCCGCTGCCGGAAGCGGAAACCCCCTCCTGCTAGGAGGCGGGGCGGAACTGCTTCCGACTCCGCCCCTGGCAGCATCTAGCTGAGTGCGGCCATGCTGGGAAGGCCTATTGTATGCTGGGGGTTCAGGTCCGGTCTAGGACGCAAAATGGAAGGAGTTCTCAACGCAAAGCGGAATAACGAGACCTGCAACAATGAAGCGCATTTTATTTCAGTACCTGTAAGAACTGACGAGAGAGAGAGCATGAAGCTCCCACTAAGAGAACAGTTGGTTTGACCCAAGCTAAGATGGCGGTCCCTAGGTTTCCCGCACCTCCCCGGTCTGGCGAGTCCCAGTGGCCTACAAGCCGTCCCCTCCTTTCTTGAAAAAACCATGCGCAACCTGCAGAGCTGTAGAGCGAAGCATTCTGGGACCTGAAGTCTCTCCTGCTCTGACCCCTAGTCTAGGATTAGGGTTCCAGCAGCACTCTTTTTCTGCTCAAACTTGGAGTTCAGAACAAGTGAACAAAAGTTGGATCCCGGGAGCAGCGTGGCGCAGGAGTCTGGGAAGTGAGACCGAGCCCAATGCTTTCCCTCCTACAGGCGTCCTACCTAGAGCTGCCCATCCAGATTATAGTGTTTTCCCCTTTGATCTGCAGCGCCCCTCCTACCCCACCCCACTCTCCTTGCCAGGGCTACCTTCCCAAGACAGTCACAGGACACTTTCTAACATGCAGGCCTGATCATGGGCTCCTCTTGGTCAAAAATCTCCCATGGCTCTCTCTTGTGCATCAACAATAGCTCAAACTCTGCTTGACATTCAAGGCTCTTCTTAATTTGTTCATAACTCTCCATTCCAGCCTCCTATTCTGCCACTCCCCTCTCAAATTCCTGATGCTACCACCCACTAAAACTGCAGACAATTCCTGGAACTTGGCTGTGTTGCCTCCCTCCCATTTACACAGGCAGTTACAGTGTTTCCCCAAAAATAAGACCTACCCATAAAATAATCCCTAGTAGGAGTTCTAAGCATTTGTGCAATATAAACCCTACCCTGAAAATAAGACCTAGTGATGGGTGTGGCTATGCAGCGTATCTGCACAACCCATGCATTTCGTCAAGGAGTGGTAAAGAAGACGAGCAGCCCTTCTCATCTGCCCCATGGTGACAGCTACTATCCCAGAGGTGACCGGAAAAGTGCTGGCAGCCCCACCAACAAGGTTGGCTCCACCTGTCAAGTCCCAGCCATCCTGTGCGTGCTGCAAGCTGAAGCTTTGAGGGGAAAATAACACATCCCCTGAAAATAAGACCTAGGGTGTCTTCTTGAGGAAAAATAAATATAAGACCCTGTCTTATTTTCAGGGAAACATGGTACTTCTGTTACTGTCATCTCATAGGCTGGATAACTTCTGTTCAGGGGTTCTTTCCTCTGGAGATCTCTCCTTTGAGCTATGCTAAATCCAGGTACCATCACTCGGCAGCCTGAGGTCCCTAGTCTGCCTCCTCTACCAGACTGTGAGCCCCCAGTGGACAGGGCTGAGTCTGATGATCACCAAATCCCTGCAGGCCCTGCTAAAAGCTAGTGTGTGTAAGTGTTAGCCTCACCTCTGGTGGGGCAGAGGTGTGAGGACTGGAACAAGTGTGAGGAGGCTGAGTTATTTCTGTACCAGCCATTATTCAGAGCTGCCTCAGAATAGCTACCTGTCTCACAGATGGGCCTTTCCACCTTTTCCAGCTCTCATTTCAGTTTGTCAGCTGACTGGCACCTCTGCTCCCAAAGAGGCACCTCCTCCCATGTGAGATGGGGAGGGTGGTGGCTGCAGACATATAGCTATGGCCTCAGGGAGGTGGCTGTGACCTCTTCTGGGTGACAGGTATGTGGTGTTTTATCTCAGTTGCCTGAGAACCCCCAAAAGTTCTCTTTGAGTGCCATCAAGCTGGTCATTCCTCCTCACTGGGCCTCAGTTTCCACACCTATGGACTGAGGAGGTTATACCAGATGATCCCAAGGTTTCTGCGAAGCCCTCTTCTGGGAAGTAACTGTCTTATCCCTACCTCTTGGATCATCTCTTTTCGGCTCTCACGACTTCCTTTTTCCCAACTTTATTCATGCTTGTTCAATTCACAGCTCTTGATCCCTTGCTATGAGCCAGGCACTGTGCTAGGTGTTGAGATTGTGTTGTGAGGAAGAGAGACACCAGTTTCTCACTGGTGGAGCTTACCTTCTAAAGTAAGAAACAAATAATGTATAGGTAAACAAATAAATATACAAAGTAATTTTACGTAGCAATAGTGCTATGAAGGAAAAAGATAAGTAGCTGTGAAATATAGAACTTTAGTTCGAGCATGGTTCCGAAGGTCCCTCAGAGAAAGGAACAGTAAGTGCAAAGGTCTCAAGATGGGAAAGAGCATGGTGAGTTTGAAGAAGGAGACCATGGTGGCTGAAGCACTGTGAAGTAAGGGGAAGAAGGATAGGAAATATGGTGGGAGAGGTGGGCAGAGCATTCAGGCCATGATGAGGAAGCTGGGTTTTCATAGGAGTGGAGTGGGTATTTACCATGGTTTTCTCACACATTTCTGATCCTCTCAGCCCCTTTCCCCACTGCATCAGTTCTTCATTCTTCTACCCAGTTCTGGCCTTCATGACCTGGTTCAGAGGGCTCACCTAGTTGCACCTGTACAACTCTTTATACTCATGCAGGACACCATTGAAATCCAACCCCTGCCATCACCCAGGCCAACCTGGTATGAGTCTCTGGACTCAAGAGAGTCCCTGTTCCCAGTGTTCACCTAGTCATGGACTTAACATTTATCCTTAACATATCCTCTTCCTGACCCCCACATCACAGCTCTCAGGCTAGTCTTCCTTCAAACAACAACAACAGCAGCAATAGCAACAGTTAAGATGTTGAGAGTATTTGTACTGTGCCACACACTGAGTGTTCATCATCTCATCTAATCCTCATATCAACCTGATAAGGTAGGAAACAAAAACGTCCCATTGTACAGATAAGGAAACTGAGGTTCACAGGGATCACAGCCCATGCCCAAGGTCACAGGCATGAAATGGAGCTTACATTTCAATCTGGGCTATTAGAATCTTAATCCACTGCTCTAAGAACCAAAGTGTGTCAGCTTTCTATTGTTGCTTAGCAAATCACCCCAAAACATAATGGCTAAAAACAATAATCATTTATTTGCTTATGTTTGTGTGGATTAGCAGTTTGGACACATCTCAGCTGAGACAGCTCTTTTCTGCTCCACATGGTCTTGCCTGGACTTACTCCCACATCTGCAGTCAGTTAGCAGGTCAGCAAGCCTCCCAGTCCTGTTGGCCTCATTCACAAGTCGGGCAGTTGGCTGGGGCTGTTGGCTTGAGTGTTTTGGTTCTCTTTAAGCATCTTCTTTAGTGTGCTGGCTCAGGCTTCCTCACACGATGGCCTCCAAAAGGAAGAGAACAAAAGCAGCAAGGTTTCTTGAGACCTAAGCTCAGAAGTGCTATAGCATCACTTTCACTGCGTAATGTTGATCGGCCAATCACAAGGCCAGCTCAGATTCAAGGTGGTGGTGTTAAAAAAGAAAAAATAGTAAAAGTAAAACCAAATAGAGGCCGGGTGCGGTGGCTCACGCCTGTAATCCTAGCACTCTGGGAGGCTGAGGCGGGCGGATTGCTTGAGGTCAGGAGTTCGAAACCAGCCTGAGCAAGAGTGAGACCCTGTCTCTACTATAAATAGAAAGAAATTAATTGGCCAACTAATATATATATAGAAAAAATTAGCCGGGCATGGTGGCACATGCCTGTAGTCCCAGCTACTCGGGAGGCTGAGGCAGAAGGATCACTTGAGCCCAGGAGTTTGAGGTTGCTGTGAGTTAGGCTGACGCCATGGCACTCACTCTAGCCTGGGCAACAAAGTGAGACTCTGTCTCAAAAACAAAACAAAACAAAAAAAAAAACAAATAGAAAAAGGCACTCCCTCAGCTCAGATATCAAAGTCATAATGCAAAGAGTCATGTGCATAGGGATGGATGGAACTGTTGTGGCCGTCTTTGCAAATGTTATATCACATTAAGTAACCATATGAACTGATTAAATAAATTATAGTACAGCTAAACATGGGGCTACTCACAGCAATGAGAGCTAATATTTTGGGGCACCTAATATGTGTCAGACTCTGCACAAGATGGCTTACATCTATTAATTCATTTAAGCCTCACAATAGCTCTGTGTAGCAGGTACATTTTTTATCTCCATTTTAGAGATTAAGTACGCCAAGTCTCAGGTTAAACAACTAGTCCAAGGTCACACCGTTAACAAGTTATAAAGCCATTAAAAAGAATGAGGACAATATCATGGAAATCAATATCATGAGGACATGGAGAGCTGGTGCTGACATTCTGTTACATGATAAAAAGCAAGAGACAAAGCAGTTGTTTGGTTGGAATACATTTAAAAAGCACATTAAAGTGGGTAGATGTATATGTGTTACATAGTTTCAGATAAATTCAGGAAGGACTTACCACAAACTATTAATGGAGCTTATCTCTGAAAAGGGGAAGGGGAGGGAACTTTGCTCTAAACATTTCTGTCTGTATTCTTTGAATTTTTTTTTTACAGCAATCATGAATTTTTATTTCAATACCCAATAAAGAAGAAAGCATTTTTAAAATATCCTTCAACTTGTCTTTCACCTCTGTCTTTTTCTATTTAGTTTTACATTTTTCTGTTTTTTCTTTTTCTTTTTTGATACCACCCCAGTCCTACCTCTTATCAATTCTGGCCTAAAGTTTTATGATAACCTTGGGGGCCCCTTCTCCCTCCCTCTGCAGCACATCCTGCTCACTGCTGCTGGAGGAAAGTATATTAACCACTATTTAACCACTATGTTCCTTTCTTAAGAGTTTTCAATGGCATCACATTGGCTGCACAGAAAGTCCAAACCCTTTGGCCTGGTGCACAGGTGGTTGTAAATTTGACTCTAACTTGATTGGATTCCAGGTCTGCTACTTACTAGCAGTATAAACTTGAACAAGTTATTAGACTCTCTAAGCCTCAGTTTCCCCATCT